TATAAAGGCTGACTCCAGCGTTATTACAACTGATTTAAATTAATTTGGATCAATTTCCCAGTGTTTTGTATCTTCAGACTCAAATGACCATTCTCAGACTCAAGTGACACTCTTAAAAATATCTTCATTCAACTCCTCATTCAATTCCCTATCGAATAACACATAAACCATCTCTCTACGACTAATACTTCAAAAGTTATAAATTTTTAAATTTAAGTCATTAAATAAACATGCGGGCCTTCGGCCCGCATGTTTTCTGCAACGCGTTCCTAGTTGAAAAAACAATTTTTAATTCTGGCGGTTGCCTCCGGCAACGCGTTTTATGCAACGCGTTCCGAATTTTTAAAATAATAATTTTAACTTCCGGCGGTTGCCTCCGGCAACGCGTTATCTGCAACGCGTTCGGAATTTTTTAAAAAAATAATTTTAATTTGCGGCAGTTGCCTCCGGCAACGCGTTTTATGCAACGCGTTCCGAATTTTTTAAAAATATCATTACTTTCTGGCGGTTGCCTTCGGCAACGCGTTATCTGCAACGCGTTCGGAATTTTTTAAAAAAATAATTTTAATTTGCGGCAGTTGCCTCCGGCAACGCGTTTTATGCAACGCGTTCCGAATTTTTCAAAAATATCATTACTTTCTGGCGGTTGCCTTCGGCAACGCGTTATCTGCAACGCGTTCGGAATTTTTTAAAAAAATAATTTTAATTTGCGGCAGTTGCCTCCGGCAACGCGTTTTATGCAACGCGTTCCGAATTTTTTAAAAATATCATTACTTTCTGGCGGTTGCCTTCGGCAACGCGTTATCTGCAACGCGTTACGAATTTTTAAAATAATAATTTTAACTTCCGGCGGTTGCCTCCGGCAACGCGTTATCTGCAACGCGTTCCGAATGTTTAAAAAATATCATTACTTTCTGGCGGTTGCCTTCGGCAACGCGTTTTCTGCAACGTGTTCCGATTTTCTCAAAAAATAATTTTTAAGTCTGGCGGTTGCAACGCGTTCCGGCAATTAAAAAAATTTTTTTATTCTGGCGGTTGCCTCCGGCAACGCTTTACTGCAACTCGTTCCGAATTAAAAAAAAATAATTTTTAATTCTGGCGGTTGCCTCCGGCAACGCGTTTTCTGCAATGCGTTACGAATTTTAAAATTAAATTAAACGTAAAATTAACTTATAAATTAATTTGCCTTATTTTTATAAAATTTTATAAAAATTTCAGTCCCAGACTGAAAGTATAAATGAGACTCAAGTGTACTTTTTACTAAAAATTTATTTTTTAATATTCTTATTAATTTTTAGAATTTTTTAAATTCATTTCCACTGATTTTAGCCTTCAGACTCAAATATTCCACCCTCAGACTCAAGTGACCCCTTCAAAAAATTTTCAAAAAATTAGCTTGATTTTTACACGTCGAATGACACCTCAATCATATTTTTCTGATAACTACTTCAAAAGTTACAAAAAACGCCTCACCGTTGCTTAACTTTCCAGATCGGACGGTCTAGATCGTCAAAATTAAAAATTTTTTCCCAAAATTTTAATTTTTAAAAAAATTCATAACTCGGTGCAAAAAAGTTAAATTAACATAAAACAAAGCTTATTCGATGCAGAATTTAATTCTCTATCTTTCATCTCCCAACACTTTTCTTCTAACTCCAAAACAAAATATAGTTAATGTCACTTTTATGCAACCTCCTAAAAATTTTAATTTTTAGTCCATATCTTTTTTTCTGTTATTCCAATCAAGTTGAAACAAACTTTTTTCTTATGAAACCCACCACGCTCTACAACTTTTCTCCCAACCACTTTTTGATCAGACCCCTCTAAATACCTTAAATCCAAAGTTACCACTTTGACAAAAAAGTTGTCAACAGGCACATCTACCCTCCCCGATGTCAGAACGACTTCAACTCTTTTTCTATCATATTCTCCATGTTGTGTTGCTTCAACCTTGTAACTGACCCAACTTTCCCCGACTTCGTCTTCATACTCAAATTTCACGTCAAAGTTTCGAAATTTCATGTTTTTTCAAAATAACTCTTTTTTTCACTTCTTGACCCCAACTTTTCGGATTTTTCCTGAAAACTACATTGTATTGCGCATCTATAGCAAAAAACCCCACCCCGATACGCCCACTCAAAAGCCCTGGGGACTTTTTTTTAGCTGACTGCCTTTTTACTATTATATATAGATAACCAGCGTTCGGCGCGAATTGCTGAGTCCGTTTGATTACTTTTGGGTATTAAGGCTGACTCCAGCGTTATTACAATTTAAATAAAGCAATTTCCGTTAAGTTCCCAGTATTTATAATCTTCAGACTCAGATGTCCGTTCTCAGACTCAAGTGACACCTATGAAAATATCTTCATTCAACTCCTTATTCAATTCTCAATCGAATGACACCTCAAGCATATTTGTACGACTAATACTTCAAAAGTTATAAACTTTTGAATTTAACTCATAAAAAACATGCGGGCCTTCGGCCCGCATGTTTTCTGCAACGCGTTCCGAATTTTTAAAAAAATATTTTTATTTTCGTCGGTTGCCTCCGGCAACGCGTTCCGAATTAAAAAAATTTTTATTTCCGGCGGTTGCCTCCGGCAACGCGTTATCTGCAACGCGTTCCGAATTTTAAAAAATAATTTTTATTTCCGGCGGTTGCCTCCGGCAACGCGTTATCTGCAACGCGTTCCGAATTAAAAAAAAATAAGTTTTATTTCCGGCGGTTGCCTCCGGCAACGCGTTATCTGCAACGCGTTCCGAATTTTAATAATTTTTATTTCCGGCGGTTGCCTCCGGCAACGCGTTTTCTGCAGCGCGTTCCGTTTCTGAAAAAATATTTTTTAATTTCTGGCGGTTGCCTCCGGCAACGCGTTCAAGGCATCGCGAATAACATTAAAATTATTTTTCAGAAAAGTATTAAAAATTAGCATTTTTACAAAATTTTCAGTTTCAGACTGAAAGTTATAAATGAAACTCAAGTGTCCTTTTTAGTAAAAATTCATTTTTTAATATTAACACTAATTTTTAGAATTTTTAAAATTAATTTCCACTGATTTTCACCTTCAGACTCAAATATCACACCCCCAGACTCAAGTGACCCCTTCAAAAATATTTTTAAAAAATTCCATTTATTTTTGCCTATCGAACGACACCTTAATCATATTTTTCCGATAACTACTTCAAAAGTTACAAAAAACGCTTCACCGTTGCTTAACTTTCCAGATCGGACGGTCTAGATCGTCAAATTTAAAAATTTTTTCCCAAAATTTTTATTTCTTAAAAAATTCATAACTCGGTGCAGAAAACTCATTTTAACATAAAACAAAGCTTATTCGATGCAGAATTAAATTCTCTATCTTTCATCTCCCAACACTTTTTGTCTAATTCCAAAACAAAATATAGTTAAGGTCAACTTTATACATTTTCCTCAAAAATGCACTTTTTACTCCATATCTTTTTTTCTGTTATTTCAATCAACATGAAACCAACTTTTTTCTTAAGAAACCCACCACGCTCTACAACTTTTCCCCCAAACACTTTTTGCTCAGACCCCTATAAACACCTTAAATCCAAAGTTACCACTTTGACAAAAAAGTTGTCAACAGGCACATCTACCCTCCCCGATGTCAGAACAACTTCAACTCTTTTTCTATCATATTCTTCATGTTGTGGTGCTTCAACCTTGTAACTGACCCAACTTCCCCCGACTTCATCTTCATACTCATTTCTAACATCAAAGTTTCGAAAAAACACGTTTTTTCAAAATATCTAATTTTTTCTCCATTGGACCCCAACTTTTGGAGGTTTTCCTGAAAACTACATAGTATTGCGCATCTATAGCAAAAAACCACACCCCGATACACCCACTCAAAAGCTCTGGGGACTTTTTTTTAGCTGACTGCCTTTTTACTATTATATATAGATAATAAAATTTTTTGTCCTTCCCTCATAATTAAATAAAAATGTTAAAATAATTAAATGTTATATTTTAAATAAAATAAAGAAAATTGCCAATCTTAATTATCTAAAAAAATTTTTTTAAAAGAAATCTTATGATTGGTTTTTAGTTTTTATTTAAATATTTATGTACTTAAGTTTTTTTTAATATTCTCTAATAAAATATATTTATTTATTTGTTCTCTCAAGAGTCCAAAAGTTTTATTAGTAAACTATTTAGTTTACCAAAAATAAATATAGAAGGATTAAAGGTTAGGCATGAAAATTTAAATTATTACAGAATATATAAACGTATCAAGAATTGAGATTTCCTCAAATTTTTGGTGTAACATTTTAACTAAAAAAATAAAAATTATATAAAATATTTCGAAAATTTTATTTGAAAATGTCAAACAAAGAAGAAGCTTTTCCATTTGTTCGGATTTTTGGAGCCTTCTCCTACCTAATATTGACAATAACTTCCCTAACTATGAACATACTTTTGGCTCTAACATTGTTAAAGGTTAATTGATATTTAATTAAAAATTACAATTAAATTAAGGGATGGAAACAATTTCGAAAAAACGTTTTTTATCGAATTGTTTGGCAACTTATTTTTGCTGATCTTTTCGCACAAATAGTCCAACTTTTTGTTGCCGTTCCGACAACTTTTGTAGGCCAAACGGTTGGAAAATAAATATTATTTTTTTCCTAATAATTTGATTCTAAATACATAAGACATGCCATATAAATAATAAATTATATCATAGTGTATTAAATATTCGATAACTTTGGTTTGTTATACAATCTGGATACCCAGGGATTTCCTGGAGCCACAAACTCTTCTGGAACTATTTAAAAAAACAACTAAAATTGTGAATTAACCTCTTAGCGTCTAATATCCCCCAGATCCCTTGATATCCCCGATTTCCCTCCAAATCCTAATAGGGGTTCTAAGACTTAACTGAGGCTTTGATCTGTAATCAAAGCTTTGATTTGACAGATCTTTCTATTTTTTAATAAAAGATATTCTCCGATTCTTGGCTACCTTTTATAATTTTTATGCAATTTGATTCAATCTCATTTTACGCAAGTATGTACTTTTCTGCTTTGATGACTTTAAATCGTTTTGCTGTTTTCTTCTGTGAATCTTTAAATGAAAAACTTTTTAGTAATCGACCTATGAAAATGTTTGCTTGGATTTTTTAAGAAAACTTTTCTAAATTAATTTTTTAAAGAATTCTTTTTGTTATTTGGATATTTGTTTTTGTTTTTATTACCATTTATTCTATATCTGGTTGTTTAAAAACTTTCTCTCCAACTGGATTCTTTATGTATAATTTGTGCAGCTCTCCAAATTTTTTAATGAATTTCTTTAAAATGGTAGGGGAATTTTAATAATATTTTTAAATTGACACCCTATTATTCCCTAATATTTATTTTTCCAGTGGGGGTACTATGCAAGTACTTATTTACCGGCTGCCATGTTATTGGCATATTTTGCTATTTATATCCGTGTTCGATATTTTGTTAATACTAATTTATTTAAAATGAGTTCAATGGAAAAGGAGAGAAAGAAAAGGGAGAAAAGTGTTCTTTTACAGGTTATAATTTTGGTGTAAAGGCCCGAATAAACTTTAATTTTCAGGCATTTTTAATTTGCGGATTTTTGGAATTACAAGATTTAGCATTTATTTATATTCCAAAAATACCTGTAGAAGGTCAATGGAGTTATTTACTAACATTTACAATTAATTGGAGTGGAATTTTGTTAAATTCAATGAGTCCAATAATTTTATTTAATTTTAACAAAGAAATAGCTGAAGGACTTAAAAAATTGTTAAAAATAAATATTTTTATTTTTAAATTAATTTTTTAAATATTTTTAAAGAATTGGAGATAATATACTTCAAAGATTCTCATCTGTAACACATGTACATACAATACAACAAACATCAATGCAATCAGCACAACATTAAAGAAAATAAACTGAAAATAATTGAAGAATGCTGATTTCATTGGGGAGATAATTGTTTCTTTTATTTCAGAGATTATAAATATTTATTTTAATTAAAAAATACGGAAAAAGCTAAATCTATAAATTAATGTTTTCTTATATTATATAAACCAAAATTAATTATCTTTCTAACTTACACAATTCTTAAATTTATGAATAAAAACACAAAAAATTCTGAAAACTTAATTTTTATGTAATTATTTAAATATTTTTTTGTCTCTTTTAAAAAAAATCTTTAATATTTTATAAATAAGAAAGATAAAATCTGTGGATCTCGTTATTTAAATCCTTTTTTCTCTTGTGTGGTCTCTTTTTTAAATTAATATATTTAAAAATAAACTCATTTTTTTCAGTAAAATCCTTGCCTAAATGTCCACTTTCTTAATTAAAAATACTTCTGAAAACTTAATTTAGGCAATTATTGTGTGGCTCGTTTTTAAAAAAATTAATTTTATAAAAATATTTTTTACCGTAAATTATACCTATACATATGTATATTTTTTTATAAAATTCGTTTTAATGTACATATTTAATTTACATTTATTTTTTTCCTGTAGAGTCCATTTATTTTTTTGACCTAACATCTTTTACTGTCTTATTGTATTTGATTTTCTGTATGATAATTCTCCATAAGTGATCCCTGTGGATCCTGAAGTTTTATTTTATTGTTCCATTTTATTTGTGTTCGATAAAGAAATAAAATTTATTAAAAAATATAAAATATTTAGTAAACTTAAACAAAGTCTATGTAGTAAAAAAATTAAAGAAAATAAATTTTTCCTACGAGGGTCTTTTCCCACCGTAAGAAAAAATTTTTGGAAGGGGGGGGGGACGACTTCAATTTTTAATTTTATAATAATTTTAGTTTATGCATATTATTGCAATAATTATTTTATTTTCAAAATTAAAAGGAAAGAATGTTTTATTCTTTTGGAGACTAAAAATGTTTAAAAAATTTAAATTAATATTTTGTTTTTTAATTTTATTAATTTTTATTTATTTTTCTAATCAAATAATGACAACAAATAATAATCAAACATCTTTTTTAACTCTAAATAAAGATAGAAAAGAGGTTTTAAATGAAAATATATCAGAAAATATAGAAATTGGGCATTGGAGTGATAAATGGTTACAACCAATAAATTTAAGTGTTAAAGAAGAACCAGAATTTGATCATTTTATTTTTACTGGGGTTATTAATGGACAATTAGGGAATCAGGCAAAAAATTTTTAAATTAAAAAAATAAATGGAGGGTGGTTTAGGAAATTCTTGTCAAAACCTTAATACTATTCTAAATACACCCCTTTTATGACTTACAAGGAAGGTCAGATTGGTCATATAATTTACCCCAAAAAATTGAATAAAAATACATAATTAAAAATTAAATTACAAAATATTCTAACCTCCTCACTACATATAAGATTACATCCATTAATATCTCCACAAATATTTAAAGGAGTTTTGAGAGGATTTACATAAGCGATACTCTTTTTACTTTTATTTAATAAATAAATATCCCCCTCGGTTATATCCGACTTTATTCGTAAAATTAAGATGTTTCGTTATGCCTCACTCTATGTGATGGGACAAATGTTAAACAGAACCCCAGTATATATCCACAATGATAATTATTTAAAGCAAATTGAATCAGAAATGTCGACAACCTTTCCAAATTATTTCAAAAAAATTTATTTTTTGGTAAAAGTATTTTTTAATTAAAATTAATTTTAAATAATTTTAGAAAGAAAATTTTACAAATTTCGAGAAATATAAATTAACTTGGATGTGTTGTGATTATACTGATCCTAAAATTTAATTAAATATAATAATTATTATTTTAATCCAGGCACTGTAAAGATTTGGACATTTCTCTTTACTTTAATTTATCAAAGCTCCAATCTTTACATGCGTCTAAAAATACTTTAAAATGTTAATTTTTTTAGTCTTTTGGGACATAATAGAGAAAGAGGATTGATGTTAACTATGGGTATTCATTTTGAAAATTATAAATATTTTCATCATAAAAGAGAATTAATTTTGGAATTATTTTGTTTTGGCTCTGAAGTGAAAAATAAAGCTGTAGAGGCCTACAATAGAATAATTATGTAAAAATTATAAAAAAATAAACCGGCTTTTATTAAGGAAGTTTAGTTGATTGTCATTTGATGTTTAGTAAACAAGGGATTAAAAATCTTGATTGATGTTTTGTCCTCTAATTTATGTAAAACATTTCTTCCAAATTTCCTTATAAGATATTTTGAAAAAATCCCGTGTCATTCAAATCTTTACTTTTTATGGATAAAGAAAACCTTTAGCCTCTTCAGATTCTACTCAAAATTCTTTGCAATTTAGGGATGATACTTCACACAAAATTTGCGTTCACACACGATTTGGAGATTTTGTTGGTCTTGGAGAATCTTTAACTTTTCAAGTAGAAGCAGCCATTGAAATTATTAGACAGAATATAACAAAGAATTTTGTTGAATTTTTTATCTTTATTTTTTATTTTTTTTTATTTTAGGAGAAAAGTGTAAATGGGTTTTCTATTATCTTTTTTGGAACAGATCAAAAGTTTTTGAGATATATTAAAGTTATTAATAGTGAGGTATTTTTTAAAATTAAAATTAGAAATATTAGATATTACTATAAGATAGCTCAGAATTAGATAATCCAGAATAACCCTGAATAAGATAACCTATAATAGATACTCCCTAACATTCCCCTAATGAAGATAAGTCTTAAAATTTAGGTGGCAATTGGGTGGAAGGGATTGCTTCTATTTAAGAAGATACACTTGAGGGACTGCCTCTATTTAAGAAGATAAAGGGTGTTTCTTCTAGTTTAATCTGAATATACTTCTTAAATAAAAAAAAACTTTTTTTTCCAAAGGTTTATAACAAAATTTATTACTTTTCTGAAATAAATTTGCAAAGAGGAGTCGAATTATATTTTGCTCAACAATATTGTAATACATTTTTAATTACAGCATTTCTTTCTTCTTATTCTTTTTGGATGGGTTATTTAATGCCGACAGTTTGGGAAAAATAAACAAAAAATTTTAATTAAAAAATATTTTTAAAGGATCGTTTAATATATTATATTCGAAAACATGTTTACATTCTTGGATATCATATTGATGCGAAGGAAGCTTTGCCACCCGATTGGATACCTATAGAAGAGCCTTGGCTTTTCGATCATTTAATTAAACAATATTGATAATTACTTTAACTGATTAATTTACATAGATAAATTATAACTGTTGTTAAATGAATTTCTATCTAGTATCCCTTAGTTAAATATGTACATAGTTTATTCATACAGGCTTTTATTTAAATACCATAAATGCTTACATAATGTCCATCTCTCAAATAATTACCCCCTTTAGAGAGAGGTTGAAACAATAATTACCCTGGGCAATTATTTTAGCATATATGGTAGTCATATGCCATTCCGAGGTTGAGTAAGGTCAGCGAGCATGAACATAATCTTATCCGGTGTACATAGATAATAACAATCTAGGCAAGGTTGACTATCATATCAGTGACTATCTTAAACCATATAAGCTTGCCTGTTTATATACCATAAGCTTGTTTACTCATATAACAATACTATCCACAACTATTATTACGTATAAAAGCAACAGTAAATTGTAATTACAATACCAGACTACAACGACTACAACTTCCAACTTAACCTCACTTGTCTGCTTCTGCTGAATGGGTTATGCAATAGGACAACTTTTGGCGGCTATGCTCTTCCACTCCATCAACTATGGCGCTGTCTGTACTTTTTCATCATTAGCATTGCTCCTGCTTTTCTCGGCAACGATCGCGGCACAATGCGGAAAGAAGAAAAAGAAGGACGCGAAAGGCAAGACGAAGGATACTGTTGAATTGGCAGCACCAGCTGAGGAGGTAAAATTTGGTTTAGGGAAATTCGATCCCTACTAATGAATTGTTTTTTTCTAGACTCCCAAAAAGGAAGAAGAAGCAGCTAATGAACCCAAAGGCAAGAAGAAAAAGAAGAAAGGAGCTGCTGACAAGGACAAGGCGAAAAAACCGGCGCCAGCAAAAGGGCCAGTATTGAAGGAGGAAGGAAAGTCTGAGGGAATTGGTCAAGGATTGGCATATCAAACGCTCGGGAACTTGGATAAGGACATCTTCTTGCAAGGAGCTCCAGGAAAACCGGGACAGGCGCCACCACCTCCAGGCGGCGGAAAAGCACCAGCTGCAGCCGGAGGACCAAAGGAAGTCGATGAGGGGAAACAGGAGGGTATCGGACAGGGCCAAGACTACCAAACGTGGAATCAGCTGGATCAGGTAGAATGATTATACATATTTAAAGTGATTGGAATAGGTTTTTAATATTTACTTTATTCCAGAATGTCTTCGTCAAAAGCAAAGGGGGTGCTGTGCCATCTGATCTTATGAGCAGAAACCCGAATGAAGGAGCGCCGCGTGAGGGTATTGGACAGGGGCAGGACTACCAAACATGGAATGCTCTAGACCAAAATGTCTTTGTCAAAGACGGAGCAAAGGGCGGCAAACAGAACAAGGCTGGCGATGGATCAAAGGTCGATGAGGGGACGCCGCGTGAGGGTATCGGACAGGGTCAGGACTACCAAACATGGAACTCGCTTGATCAGGTAGATTTTTATCAAAAGTTATTGATAAAATAATTGTTATTATACTCCTTCTAATTTTTCAGAATGTGTTCGTGAAGAAGTGAGCGACGACATCTACAATCCTTGTGCCTTGTCTGACTTGAATTCTCGAAAGATGAAATATTCAACCCCTAAAATAATTGTTCAATCGGTGATGTGTGAAGAGGAATGTTATTATTCGATATATCGTGTATATTCATATATAAATGTATTTGTAATTCACACTCCTTTGTAATTACCGGTGTTTTTTTTGTAATTAATAATCCCCAAAACAAAATATCTATCTTCGCTTTTGTTTGTATTGTTGATGTGTATTGTTCAATAAATATTACTGTGTTTTACTTTTAGACTAGCTAAAAAATTTTGAATGAAATTTTTTCCTATTTTATGGAGAAAAAATATTTGAGAGGTCGGAGAATTGGATCGAATGATTCACTGGTTTTTTCAAAATTTTTTTCCAAAAAACACATTACTGTTGTCAGATTATCACAAAATTTCAGTTTTAATTAATAGCATTTATACTTTAATATGTACATATACAGTGGCGGAAATTTACTTAAGAAAAGAGTTCAATGTTTGTGTAGCCATTCTTCCTCTATAGTTATCCAATCAGAAGGAAGATTCTCTCTCGAATCCAAATAAAAGTTCTTTCCATATCTATTTAATTGCCATTTTTTCCGAACAAAAAATATTGGTTTATCCTTAAATTAATTTTTTACAAAATATTTTTTTCCAAAAATACCTCAGGCATTAAATAACCCATCCAAAAGGCATTAGCAGTTAAAGAAGCGGTCAGTAATAAAGAATCACATGATTTTTGTGCAAAATGTAATTCTTCTAATCTACTCATTTCTAAGTCAACCATAAAGTGGATATTATCAAATAATGACTGAAAATAAAATTGGAATGATTTTGAAATTTTTAAGAGGAAGAATATGGGGAGATAAATACATCTCAAAAGGGGGAAATAAAAAATTTCTAAATTATTTTTCCAATTAATTACCTCATTATAAACATTCTTTAATGAGTTAATATATTTCTTTTCCATTCCAAAAAGAAGTAGAGAATATAAATGAATACGGCTTTTCTATAAAAGAAAATTATTTTTATCAAGAAAATTTTATCAAAAAAGGATTAGTAAATGAGAGATTTGAGGATAAAACTTTAAAAAATTTAAAATTAATTTACAACAATTCTCGGAAGAAAATTTCTTAAATATTGAATTGCTTCCCCTATTTGATTTATTGCTGTATCTCCAAGACCAACATAATCACTAAATGGAGTATGCACACACATTTTGTGACTAAAATCATTCCTAAAAATTTTTCAAATAAATTACTAAAATTTACAATCTGACGGACCTCACTATTATAAGATACAAGATTTGGGGTTAAAAAATCATATCATATAATGAGTAGGGTTGTCGGACCGGATACCGGATCCGGATATCCGAAGATTTCCAATTGTCCGACAACCTTAATAATGAGGGCATCTTAAATAGAGAGTATTTATTGATATTTATTTGACTCAACGGCCAACAAATCATATGTTAGATTGGGTTTATCTCTTATAATAAAGTCCATTTTTGTATTAAAAATTAAAAAAACTTAATTAAATAATTTATTTTTAATTAGAGCAACATTCTCATAAACACGCTGACCAAATTCAAATAAATTTAAAATCTTTTTCCTTATATGATCAAAATATAAATAATTCTCAAATTGTATTCCCCCAGTCAACATTAATCCATTAAATTCTTTATATTCAAAAAGTCTTTTTAAAAATATTTTTTAAAAATTATTTATTTTAATTTACATTATTTACATTTCCGGATTGCTGTAAACACAACAAGTTTTTGCCAATTCAACTCTTTTTATTTTATTTTGATCAATTTTATTTTTCTAAAAAAATTTAAATTTTATTTACAAAAAATATTTACTAAGAAATAAATTTTTTTATAAAAATTAGGCATTTGAACACGCAATTTAGCTTCATAATCTCTCATTAAAATGTCATTATGGGAGAAAACAGGGGTTCTATTAAGCATTTGCCCAAAAGCATAAAGTGAAGCAAAACGGAACATCTTTAAATAATTAATTTTCTTTTAAAAATTATTTAATTAAGAATACTTGATTAACAATTTGTCCATAAATTTCTTCTGTAAAAATAAAATATTCAAATTGGGGCTTTTCTTTTGTTGTCATTACTAAAGTTTCTAAATATTTGGATGAATTGTTTCCTTCTTCTTTATTAAGTTGTTGCTTTTGTGATAGGGATGATGGTGATGTTACCTTTTTTTGAATTTAGATAATTAAATTGCGAGAAATAGCTACTTTTTTAGTTTATTAGTTTGTTGAGAATTTTAAATTTTTGAGAAGCATGGAAAAAATATAAATATATTTATATATATAAATATAAATATATTTTTTCCAGATATAAAAATATATCAAGTCGATTTTCACTATAAAATGCCATAAACTAAATTTAAATACTCCTCCATTATAAAATACAATTTTACACCCCCAAACATTTTATTTAAAAAACCACACCTGTCCATTTGTTGTCATTTTTTGTTCGTCAATATTTCTAAGTCGAAAATGTAGAAAAACAGATGTCGAAAAAATACAAAAAATATAAAAAAATAATACAAAAATAAATTTTCTTTTAGGGGAATTTTGTTTATTAAAATTGTTATTTGTTGATAAAGAATTTAAAAAAGCTTTAAATTTTGCTGTTCTGATTCTTTTTTGTGATTTTAATTTTTGATATAAAGAAGGCATTCTTAATATTTAAAAAAATTTCATTATTTTCTATTTATAAGTTAAAGGATAATCCCAGAACTGCCTATAGTCTCAAACACAAAATTTAAAAATAAAAAACGGGGTCTTTTGGAAAATGAATCCAATTTGGCCAGTTAAATTGAATTTAAACCAAATTTTATTCTAAATATTCTACGTACATATTTAGTGTATATTGACAAAAAGATTAATGAAAATACGAGAGAATAAAGAATAATTAATTAATTACTCACTCCATACTGCAACGAATAAGAGTAATTAAAAGATAAAATCTTAATTATTTATTTATTTATTTATTTAGATTCCAGTTATTAATTAAAATATCAAAAAAAAATGTCTAAATTATCCAGAACTTTTATTTTTTTCTTTTATTTTCTTTTTATTTTCCAGCCAATTCTCTTCTATTGCGAACCAATCTTTGGGGAGTATTTGCATTGTATCAAATGGATAAATTGTTGTTTTACTTGGATGGAGTAATAATTGCTTTCGTATATAAAATATTGGGAGATTCTTTTAAAAAATAGAGAAATTAAAATTTAAAATTAAATTAATCTATGAAAGTCTTTGGAAGTTTATCTTGTCTTAGAGAGAGAATTCCTTTTGGAATTTTCAAGGATCCTGCCAAAAATCACAGGTTTTTGCAATCTTCGTGATTGACAGAATTATGGAACTACGGAAGCCCTTGCTTTACTGCAAATTTTGTCAGAAATATCCAATAAAATACAAATTAGACTATTAAAATCTTAAAATTATTTAAAATCAAATATTACATTCGGCATTAAATACCCCATCCAAAATGCAAAAGAAGATAATGGAGCAGTAAGAAAAAGAGCATCACAATATTCTCTTGCAAAATATAATTCCCCTCCTCTAGACAAACTCAAATCCAAAACATGATAAATTTTGTTGAATAAAAACTTTAAATTTTTAATTAATTTTGATTAATTATTTAATATACCTTATTTTTATTTATTTTTATTTGATTTAAAAAATTTTTGTCTTCACCGAAAATTAGCAAAGAATATCTTTTATCAATTACATTTCTTTTCTTAAAAAATTAATTTTTTTAAATTTCAAAAATAATTTCCACAAACAATTAATCGAAAAAGTAATTTCGGGATTAATTCAATCAAAGCCTCAACTTGTTCAATAACAGACTCTCCAAATCCAACAAAATCTCCAAAACGTGTATGAATACAAATCTTGCGAGCATTGTCATTTCTTTAAAATTAATTTTAAAAAATTAAAAATTAAATTTAAAAAATTAAAAAACAAAAAATAAATTCTTTGTGTGGCCTCTTCAATTTCTTTAACAATTTCTGGTCCAAATTCAAATAAATTTAATATTTCCTCTCTTAAATGATCAAAATATTTATAACTTTCAAAATAAATTCCTCCAATTAATCTTAATATTTTTGCATTATTTTCTTTTAATAATCTAAAAATAAATAAATTTATTTATTTATTTTTTTAATTAAAGGAAAAACATTTTTGGATTATTATAATCACAACAAGTCGTTGCCAATTGAAACTTTTTTTGAATTTTATATTCTGATTTCTATTTAAAAAATTTTAAGGAAAAAATAAAAACAAAAAAAACCAAAAAATAAATTTGTTTAAAAAAATTTGGAAATATTTTGGATAATTCAACTTCAATATTTTTAATATAATTATCTTGTTGAATATAAACTGGTGTTCTGTTTAATAATTTTCCTATTGCATAAAGAGAAGCAAAACGATACATCTAAAAAATTAATTAGAAAATATAAAAGATTTTTAGAGCTTTAAGGAAATTGAGAGACAAAACTTTAACAAAAAATACAAATTTGTGGAAACCTTTTACCATCATTATTTCCCTCAATTAAAAAAATATTTTAAAAAACTTGATTTCCAAGCTGTCCATTAATTGGTTCTGTTAAAATAAATTTATTAAATTCTGGTTTTATTTTTTTCTCAAATTCTGTATCCACCAACATTGAATTTAAATGAAATAACTAATAAATCAAGAGAATATTTAATTTTAACAAAAACCCTTATGTATACCTTTTCTGTTTCAGTTCTTTTTAAAAACAATTTTTTAATTTCAAATTTTTCGACATCTTCCTTCGTTTTATTTTTTGACAATTTATTAATTAACACAATTAAAATTAAAGAAATAATTATTGTTTTTAAAAATATAATTATTAAATTGGAGAAATAGGACATTTTAAATTTAAAAAAATAAAAAAACAGGCCCTCTCTACAAAATATATCAAATATTAGATTAACTAAATTTAAGATACGCTTTTCAAAATTACCGTAACCGTTACCCCTTATACATATAAAATACCCCCTCCCCCCACATGTGTCTATATCTCGTAGAGAGGTCCGATTTTATTACCTAATAAAATTTTCTTTTAATTATTTAGCAGAAAAAAACCACAAAAAATAATATTTTTAAATCGTTCAAATTCTAAATCCTTCTCTATCCACGCAACAGGATGATTTATTAATTTTTCAATATTTATTAGATAATATCTTGTCATCTTTTTAATTAAATATATTTTTTAAAAATTATTTGGGTGGTCTTTCTATTTATTTTTTTATTTAATTGTTTTATCTAAAATAATATTAGAAATTATTTTGAAGAAAAAAAAAGAATGTAAAATATTAACACGAGATGAAATTATGGATGATGGGCTTTTTAAATATAAATATTTTCACTAATACACAAACAAATTCAAATCATTTTTACATAAAAATTAGACAAAACTTGTAAATCCTTATAAATATTTATTGCCCTTTTACACGTTTAAATTTATTTTTAAATAAATTTCTGAATGTTTTTTCGTATTATTTTCAAACAAAAATTATTTTTAGTAAAATATTCAATGGAAAATTGGAAAAGAATTTTTATTATTTTATTTATTATAACAATTTTATTTATTTCATTAAAATATTGGCAATCAGAATTTTTAAATGAAAATTCTGTTCTTAAGGAGGAAAGCAAAATTGAAGAAAATTTAACTAATTTAAATAAAACAAAATGTAATAAATGCCCAAAATCAGAAAATTTAAGAATTAAATTTTTTGAAGAAAATTCGGATAAAAATAAAAATTATTGTGAAGGAGAAAATGTAAGAAAAAAATTAATTAAAATATTAATTTTAATTTTTATTTTTAGATGGCATATCCATTATTATTAAACAATAAGGATTGTTGTGAAATTAAATGGGGAAAGAAGTTTAATTGTGATTTACTTGGAATTTTGGAGAAATATAAATTAACAGACAGAAGACACAGAATAATTGAAAATATTCCAGTAAGTAGTGCTGGGGTATGGTTGGAGCCGGCTAAGTAGAAGTCTCTGCCCCTAAATTGGAATCGGAGCTGGATATTAATTATAAAAATATCGGCTTCAGAGAGAGAAACAAAACATCGAATCCCCAAGCACTTAAAACAAATTTAAATAATTTCCTCCTTTTCAGGTTCATCATTTGGAAGATGGTTCTGTAATTGTAACAGCTTCTAATACAAAATATTTTCCCTTTATGAAAGCTAGTATCTATGATATTCGATTTAATCTGGGAACAAAAACAAAAATAATTGGTTATGATTTGGGTGGAATTACAGAAAATAAAGAAATGGTTTTTTTGGATTTTAGAAAAATTATTTATTTAATTAAAGATGAACGAATTAGAAAAAGTTTGTAATTTTGAATGGCGAAAATTCAATTTTTCTGTTCTTCCTGAAACTGTAAGAAAACCAACAGTTTTTGCATGGAAAATTGTAATCATTGCGGTAATATTTATTTAAATATAAATATATGTATGTACAGTCAGACCTTATTATAAAAAACGTATAACAGAAAAATGGTACTTATAATGAGGTTAGCTTAAATGAGGGGTTCCACTTTTTAATAATCAACCAACAAATGTATTTTATATTGAAGTATATTATTTGGAGGTATCATATAATGGTTCATCACATGTTAATTGTTAATAATAACCACTTATTGTGGATAATTTTCAAACATTTTATCTAAGATTTTAAATTTTCAAATAATTTTCTAAAGGAAATTTTAAATGAGTATCCAACAATGATATATGCCGATGCTGGTGTGCGATTTTATTATGATGGGTTTAATAATTATTTTGATAGAATTGAGGATGGAACAATTAGTGGATTACAAATGCCTAGTGATTCTGGGCATAGTATTGCCTTTGCTACACATCCAGGTAATTAATAAATTATTTCTTAGGAAAATTAATTATTTAAAGATTTTTACAAATATATTCCACATTATTGGGAGGAAATGTCTGAAAAGTCGTGGAAGGAAATGCATGAAGCAAATTTTATGATTATTCATAGAAATGAATATACAAGAAAATTATTAAAATGGTTTGGATATAAAAAATAATACATTCAATGCTCACTAAAAATACTCTTAATACAAGATAATCTTAATTTAAGATAGGCATTTTTGTCTAAATTTAGTTGGCAATAGCGGAGCTGTCTAAGTCACCATTTAAAATAAAGATTATAAAATACAAATTTTTCACCCTAAGGCGTGAGGTAATGAGGTCCGATTTTTTAAGCTAAGTCCAATTCCAATCCTTTAGTGAGGACCAGCTTTATTTAAATCTTTTAATTTTAGGGCAATATTGTGTGCATATACATTAGAATGTATAGACCCTCCAGGTTCTAGAATAGTTTGTGAACATCCTTATGTAGGCATTGCAAAATGTCATAGACAAGATCAAAGTATTATAAATATTTTAACAAATAATTTGGAAAAAGAAATTTTGCTGGAAGGTTTTTATATTCTTATTTTCAAAAAATAATTAATTATTTAAGAAAATGAAAGAAAGTTTTATTCCCATTATGATGATCAAAATCCGAGAATATATCCAAATGGGTTTTTTAATATAATGAGAAGGTTGCCCCTTAGAAGAGATTTTAATTTTGAAAAAGCTGTAAAATGTAATTAAAGAATAGTCGGATCTAAATATATAAAGGTACACACTTGAGATTAGGAAATTGTATCCTTTAATGAGGTTATTAATTCTAGAGTAATTTATTTTATTATTACTTCACATTATCACCCTTGGGTATTTTTTAGGCTCCCATACAAAATACCGAATTCTTAAAATATGGAATCTCAAAATCGCGAATCGGCTAAAAAAGCTCAAAATATGGAATCTCAAAATATCGAATCTCAAAATATGGAATAGGCAAAAAAAAGCTCAAAATATCGAAAAATATCGACAATGCGGCAAAGGCCAGTTGAGTCTGAACAAAGTTGTGACCAACTTCTTCGTAAAAAAATTTTAAAAATAAGAGAAAGTATTTTTCTAAGGTAAAAAAATGTGCTGATTACGAATCTCAGCTCGGATTTTGAAAAAGTCGAATCCCGGACCCGAACCGAATTTCGAATCCCGAACCGAATTTCGAGTTTCCGAATGATAGCTCATCTGAAAGAGCACGTCGAGCTGCATCAAATGACACCAAAATCAATGAAATCCGACCTGATTGGACTGAGTTACAGACCCCTGAATAATCAGAAAAAGACCTGCAGCGGCACTCAAACGGCCCTTTTCGTTTTTAAAAAATTCGACATTTTTAACTACTTTTTAGCCGATTCGGTATTTTGAGCTTTTTTGGCCGATTCGCGATTTTGAGATTCGATATTTTAAGATTCCATATTTTGAGCTTTTTTGGCCGATTCCATATTTTGAGATATTTTTACCGATTCGCGATTTTGAGCTTTTTTAGCCTATTCGCGATTTTGAGAATTCGGTATTTTGTGCGGGCACGATTTTTTATTAAATACAGTAATAATTACATATTAATATTTAAAATAAGTATACCAATTATGATATATTTAATTATTCACATTTATTATAACTAATTTATTTGTAAATATTTAATTGTAAAATGATTAAAAATAAATTTTTTTATCTTTCCAAAAAATATATTCACATTTAAATAAAAATTCCGCGCAACTAAGGTTTTGTGAATATCGATTTTGTCACATGCACACGCCAGCCGCCCTTTTCTTATTCTCAAACGTAAACAACAAAGTGTTTATTTTCAAGAAAAAAATTTTTAAATTGTCTTTTTTGACTTTTTATTATTTTTTAAAATAATATTTAAATAAATAAATATATTTTTTATTTTTTAAATATTTCTAATTATTAACTTACAACGCTTAAAATGAAAAGGTAAGTATTCTGTATTTAGCTTAACAGCAATTGGGTTCGTTAAATAAATTTAATTAAAATTTTTTAATCTGTGAATTTTCTTTTATTTTGATTGGGCAAAAAGACTGATTAGAATAAAAAAATAAATTTGTAGAGTTGATTTTCTTAATCCTGGAGAGACTTACGAAATTTATGAAAAACGTGCACATTCTCCGTTGAACTACCCCCGATCAAGTTCTTCTCCAATACAAAATTATCACTCTCCTCAACAACAACAATATATTATTCCTTCTTCACCTTCATACACCTTTGTTCCAATTCCAGAAAAGAGACAAAAAAGTATTTAATTTTAAATGAATAATAAAAAATAAAGTTGAACCTCCCCACTATAGGATACACCATTGGGGCTAGAAAGATTGAACCGAAAGATCTCTTTTAATGGGGAGGTATCATTTAGGAAATAAGCTTCAGGGCTCAGCTTATTTCTTTTTTTATTTTTTAAAGTCTCTATTTGGTGGATAATTGGAATAGCTACACTTGCCCCTATATTTATTGTTGTTATGCTTTTTCTTGCTGTTTGGCTTCAGGAAATGGGAATTATTTAAACGAGATTTACCTCATTAAATTTATATATTTTTTATTAATTATATATATTTTTTTCAAAAATAAAATTACTCGTTTTTAATTTAAAAAAGTGTTAAATTAATGAAATGTTTTCCATAAAGTACATGCCTGAAAATATTTTTTAAGAATTTAAAAAAATCGAATTTTACCAAATTATGGCCAAGATTACTAAATGAATTAGGCTTTGGTGATATTTCTTCTACATTAGATTGACGACTATTTTGTTGTCGTTGCTGTTCTTTAGGTGAAGGCAATCGACGGACTAATGCACTTAAAATAGAAAGGAAATTATAATCTCTAATTTGTGATAGTCGGTCCTCACTTAGAAGATACACCTTGGGGCTAAATAATTGTGGAGGTATATTTATGAGTGTATCTAATAGTGAGGACTAACTTCACAGACCCTTAATTAACCTAAAAGGACTATGTTCTCTTGCAGATTGTGTTGTTCTAGAACCAACAGAACTCCTTGCACGACCACCACCAAATAATAATGGAGGAAGGTGTGCTGTGCTAGAAGGGGGGAATGAAGGCCTGCTAGGTTGTTCAAGTGATAAACTATGTAGACATCCACGCTAAATTAAATAAAATTAAAAATTTTTTTAATAAATGAAAATCACCTCAATCCATGACTTTCTTCTTACTTGATTAACAACACCTGTATTTCCAATTCCAGCAAAAGTTGGTCCGGTAGGAAGAACACTTTCATCAGACAAATCACTTCCATTACCTTTTATGTTTGTATTGAAAAAAAAGTCGGGTCGGGTTTTGGGAATTCAAATTTCTCAGATCGGAAAAAAGCCCGTGTATCGGGTAACCTATTCCTGTTATACAGTTGAATCTTACTATAAAATACACCCATAACTACTATATACATCTCTAACGTTTTTTAAAACTTGGTCGGAGAGAGAGATGTGAGAGAGATGCCCAAGTGATACCCCAGATACCCCCTAATTGTAGGATACAATTTTTCAATCCCAAAAATTTTTTTTCATGTTTATATGTATTTTAAGCATTTTTAAAAAACTTACAAAGTCTTAAAGAGACTTCAGATTCAAGTGAACATCTCGAATCTTTTGATTCTCTTCTTTCAGTTAAAGCGCCTGCTACCGATCCAATACCCCCACCCCTATCCTCTTCGAGTCGACCATCTGCCGAAAGAAAAGACATTTTACGACTGTCCCCACCAATTGAAGGCCTTGTTGCCGCAGTAATTAATAAACGGGGAAGGTGATTAGAAGACATTGAAACACGACGGTTACAGAGACGGCGACTATAAATAAATTTTAGAAGTCAGCAAAAATTATAAAAAATTCAAATTTGCAAATTCAAAAAACTTAAAAATATATTAGAAAATAACTTACTAATTATTTTCCTTTAGTTGAGTATCATCCGAATCGTAACGAAGTTGTTCAATTATATCCAATAAAATTCGAGATGAGCTCATTACCTTAAATTTATATTTTACTTGAAATTTTGAATTAAAATATATATTAAAATCAAAAAATACATACATCATCAAAATGAGCAGGAGATATTTCTGGCAAAGCCAAACCAAGAACCAACTAAAAAATATAATAAAAATATCTAAGTAGAATTTTTAAAAAATTTTTCAAAATATTTTTTTCTTCTATTTGCTAATCTTGTCTATATTTGGGAAATTTTACAAAATTGTATACATATTTAGAACATTTTCAGTATCTTTCACATCCCTAATAATAATTCTTAATTATTTACAGGATTAAGTAAATGATGGGCAATAACAAGAGGATCACTAAAACGGCTAACATCGCAAGTTAAAATTCTTTGAACAATACGGGATTTTGAATGGACTATAGCTGGATGTAATGTTGAGCAAACTGAAGATAAAGTTAATAAATATTGAAGTGTTTGAGTATCACAACGATCACTTAAATGTCCAATAGCTACAAGTAGATCTATTTGCCGCTTAAAATTTAAAAAAAATTTTAATAGAAAGAAGGGAGGGAGACACAAATTACAGTTGAACCTCAATATAAGATAGGTAATCAAAAATACACTAAATCTTATTTAGGACATGATTTTAATAAATTGGTTTATAATCTTGATAGGAGACAAATATTAAAGATAACTTCATTATAAGATACAATTTTCAGCCCAAATTAATAAATCTTAATGAGGTTAGACTGTATATTATTTAAATAATTAAGAACATACAGAAACTTGCTCTTGAAAGAATTGGGCCTGATTTTGTAAAGTTGGAATTAATCTTTTACTTAAATAATTATTAGGAATAAATTCAACAATATGAGGTAATGTACGGACAGAATTTTGCTTTAAAAACAAATAAATAATTGTTTACATTATTTTTTAAGAAAAACCTTTAAATGAGGATCTGTTCCATTAAGAAAATAAATTAATAAATCTAAACACCGATCTTCTACTTGTTCATCACTTAAACGTCTTAAAATAATTGGCATATGTGAAAGTAGAGATTGACTTAACTATAAGAATTAATTTTAATTTTTAATTTTAATTCTTATTTCTCCCATAAAATCAAAACATACAAATTTTTCTTCAGCTGCAGCAACAATTTGTCTAAACCAGGGCCTTAATCTGTGTATATTATGACTTTCACAATTCTTTAAAAAATTATAATTTAATTTTTAAATGAAAAAAGTACTTTAAGCATATAACAAAGGGGACTAATTAGTGCTGGCATTAATTCTGTTGTCCCCTGTAAATGTTCATTGAAACGACGAAGCACTCTTCTAAACCAAAGAGATTCTGGGATTTGTGGGAGAATTGCACTTAGAGACTTGAAAAATTTTTTTTGAAATATTTAAAAAAATATTTTAATTTATTTACATGTCTAAGAAAGGCTGCTTTATTGGCTGGGTCAAATTCTTGTGCCAAATCATCTAATTGTCTTAAAGCACCAAGTGAAGGTTCATCAAAGTGTTTTATCTTTAATTTTAAATTTATATTTAATCAAATATATTTATTTTAAACTAAAGCAAGCATTTGAATAGCCGGACGTTGTTCTACTTCTTTAGATAAAACTTTGACAAGTGATGCTTTTAAATTAGGTCCAAGTTCATTAGCAATTAATTGTAATCCAATATCTAATTGTTCTATTACTATTTGATAACTTTCCAAATTATTTTTAACATCAATAATTCTTTTTCCATCTTAAAAAATAAATTTAGTTACTTAGAATGGTAATTCTATCGAATCTCACTAAAAGATACTCCCCTTGGGCACCTAATGACCAGCATTAAAAGCGTATCTTTAATTAAGGCGAAGACTATAGAGAGATCCGACAGTATGTCGTTTAGGACCCATTCCCCATTTTTAAATGGATTAATTATGCAACTTAAAACGCTAGTTAAAAAGGGCCCAAGTGACATTATCATAATATTTTTACTTGAATAAATCCAACAAATTAGAACACCGAGCGAAAACACATCAGCAGCCAATGTTACTGTTTGTGCATTTTGAATTAAATACTCGGGAGCAAGAAACTGAAAAAATAGATACAGATACCTATTAAATTAAATATACATCCAAATCTGGTTGAAGACAGGCTGGAAGTTTTTTAGTCCAAGGAAAGCAAGGAAATATTCCCTTTGAAATTAAGGAAATAATTTAAAGAAAAATTAATTTACAGGCTTTTTAGGCGCTACAGAGAAAGCAAATCCTCCAATTTTCCAATGCTGAAAGGAAGTAACGAAGACAGCCTGAGGTGTCAAATTTCCATGAAGGATTTTTGCATTATTGTGTAAATAAGAAAGTCCCTCAACTAATTGTAATACCCCCAATTTCATTTCCAATTTATCTAGAAGTAATTGTTTACTATCTTCTTCTGATTGACTATTAATATTAAAATGCTGTTCATCTTCTCTTTCGAGTAATAATTTATCTAATGTACAATATAAAGGTTCACATGCAAAACCAATCAGTTCTCTACAAAATGAGATTAAATTACAATCTCCAATAAATATCAATTTTTAAGATATTGTTTTTGAATTTGGTTGACGATTAGAGGAAGGAAGCTGTCAATTATATACTTCCCAAGAATGTATTAAATAGTGAGGTCCGATGTGTTTTAATATATTTTTGAAAATTTCAAACTTATTTTCCACTAAAGGATGTAAAAGTCGTAATATTCGAGGATGTACAAGTTGTTGCAATTGAGACAAATCGTATCTTAATAAATCTGAGAGTCCGAGGCGATTAGCACGACCTAGCCTGGAAGGTCCTTTCACGTTACATTTTTTGTCAAACAAAAGAACAGATGCATCCTGTTAATAAAATAAAAATTATTCTCTCGCTCACAAAATCTCTCAAAAACTTTATCAGTTCCAACAGTTGCTTGTGCAGTAAAATGATGCCAATGACCAGAAAGTATTTGACCTGTAGCTTGAAGGCAATGAAATTGTGAGTCTAAAGGTGTTGGCAATGCAGGCAATGTGGACGAAGTGAAAAAACGGTGAGGAAGTAATGGAAGACCAGTGACTGAAGAAATGGTAGAGGAGGTAGAGCAAGTTGAACCACTCCTTTTTGCGCCTCCATTAAAGCCCGATTTAGAATTGGAACGTTGTTTCTGTTGAGGTGATTGAACTCTAGATGAAGGTCTTAAAAGAAAATTTATTAAATTTCGATGTAATTTTATCTAACCACCTTTGGTCTATAATTAATTCATTTTTTAAATGCCCATTTCCAGTTAATTCAGCAGCTGATAAAGTCCCAGGACTGGACGCAACTCTCAACGGGGTTTCGCTGGTAATATCATTGTTGCTTATAACTAGCTGGTAAACAAAAAATTTATTAAAATATTTTTTCAATTTTAAATATTACTTGGTGAGGATATGGAGATTTTGATAATTCTCTTGTTTCAATCTTTCCACTCATGGGAAATGCATTTTATTGCGACAAGATGAATTAAAGAATTTTAATAAAATTAAAAATAATCCCTCAAAAGGATTATCTTGGAAGAATTATTTTAAAAATATTTTAAAATTAATTTTCTTCTGTGGGGAAAAAATTAACAGACTTAAAGGATATATTAAAAATAATTTTAATTGAGAATGTGTATACAGTCAATACTATCCATTTAAAAATCGGATCTAGACAAGTTCGGATTTAATAATCAAAAACTTTATTTCAAAAATGCCAAGTGATATTCTTCTTAACTAAAACAAAAAAATTGTCAATTTATTTATAAAAAAGCTATTTTCATTTTACAAATTACAAAAAAATAAGGAGAAGCATAGTATATGTAATTCTTATGCATTTAATAGATGTAGATGAAAGGAAAAGCAAATTACCTATGAAAATGGTAAGCGCTCAGCCGGAAAGAAATGAGCGAAAAAAAGGGCATAAACACACACACATCTTACGCAATTCTCTCTTTTTTTAAATAAATTAAATATAGTTTCAAAAATATAAAGATAATAAATACAATTTATTGAAACAATTTATAATTATTTTCTTTTAGAAAACTATTTTTAGAAATATTTAAATAAATAATTTTTAAAAACGTAATTTAAATTCGTAATTAAAAATACGTAATTAAAAAGTTTATTGAATAAAGATGGAAGTCAAAGGTGTCGGAAATTAGAAGAATATGACTTTCAAAAGTTGGTTTGTCACCAGTTTGAGAAGCTGCCTAAGCAATACCCCTGAGCTAACTTCATTGCCCCTCACCCTCATTCACATAACGTGATCTGCCTGGTCACTAATTTTTAATTATTTTTATTAATAAAAAAATTCGAGTAATGCAACTAAGAATTCAAGGAAAATTAAAAATAATATAAATTTTAAGAGGAAATACATATTTCGTATAAATATTTATTCTTTTGGAAAGTGAAGATAAGAAATGCTGAAAAATGCGCTAAAGGCAAACAAAAGCCGAGAATGCAATTAATGGTATATAAAATTGTGAGGGAGTTTGTTGGAGGTTAAAGTGAGTGGGTGGAAAAAATAAGGAAAGAATGAAGGAGATGGATTGAGAGAATTTAATTTGGCATAAAATATGCTATTACTTGGAACAAAGAAGGTCATATTATTATTAACTAAAAATAGATGAAAGAAAAGCTAATATTTTTCAACAGTTAAAACTAAATATAAGCCTAAATCTATTTAAGAAATTTGGTTGGCTATCAAAGCAATACCTCCTTTTTAAGGTACACACCTCATCTAATAGAACCTACGGCCATTTGGTCTTGGATAGTGTTTAAGCCTGATTTTTAATTGACAGCTGGATGGCAAAACAAAATAAATTTAAAATTTGAATAGGTTATGGTACTTACATTTTTACTTGTTTTTCATTTTTCATTTTATCGATAAGTATAATAATAATTATACTAAATGTCAGTCCTCATGGGAGGGCATATTCTCTCTCTTTCATCGTCAATATATTTCTACAAACAGTCTCGCTCATTTCATTAGGTTTGCTGACTTTGTCCTCCAGCCGCTCAAGGGTAATTGCTTTCGCGCGGTATTGAGTAAGTCAAAATGAAAGAGAATGGTTTTCATGTGCAAGCTATATACTGAAATAGTTAGGTAATAAGAATGAGTAGATAAAAGGAATTGGCAAAAAACGTTGAATAAAATGTAATAGCTTGAGGAAGTAGAAAATATAATGAAAAAGGGAGGGAGATGGCAAGATGTTAGCACTCTTCTTAAAATAAAAGAGTATCCAACCTAGATGACCCTAAACCTATCGAGAAATCGAGATTGAGATCGAGGTTATATCGATGTCGAATCTTATTCTCAAGACCTGTCACAAAGACATGAAGGCAGCTTGTTGGGGATGAATGTCAAAATTGTTAAAAGCTGAAAGATTAGTTGAAAGTTTTAAAAAATTTGGAATGAAAGGTAAGAATTTTATTAAATTTCCAGCATTTTATATTAATTAAAAAAATTTTCTAAAAATATAATAAAGCATTTTAATAAAAAACGAGTGTTTGTGTCAATCTTAATTTAATATTCTCTGTGGAAATTTTAATATAGAATTAATAGAAAAGTGAAATAACAGGAATGAGAAATAAAATTTTAATTTAATCTACATACTATGTACATATGTTGAATTTTATTTTAGATTTTTGAATAAATTATTTAGATAATCTTTTTAATTTAAAAAATTAACATATTTTTTAATTTAGGTATGTCCAAAAAATAATCTAAATTAACCTAAACATTTTAAGGACAATTAATGAGTGGGGGGGGGGTTGTATGGATGTGATTTGGAGATTTGATACTATCATACTAATTTATATTCTCGCATATGTAAAACAACAAAACTTTTAAGATAAAACAATGGAAGCTAAAAGTGTAAAATCTCCTAGTATATAAATGTTTAAATCATGAGAGTTTAGCTGTTCTCTCTATCCTAAATCCGTCTTAATGCAGCTACTTATTGTTTCCGGTAAGTTAATTTTAATCCTCTGTTCAAACTCCACAAAAATTTTCAAAATTTTAGACGGATGCATTTTGGAAAACCGCTGGCCGTTTTGGACATTAATATCTTTTGTTATGTTTCAGTCCATCTGGCTTTTCATCTTCTTGATCACTTGTTGCTGTGTTGCAGTTAGACAGGCAGAGGAGGAATATCCGGAGAAAAAGATTGTCAAATCTCAGATAAAACAAGTGAAATGTTGCTACAAAATTGAACTTTAAAAATCTTTTTTTAGAAAACTCAAAGTTTGCCTTCGCCCAGTCGCCCACCTTCTCCATCGCCTAAAAAACTATCCAAGTCAAAGGATTCTAAACCCAAAAAGAAACACGAGCAAAAACAGAAAAAGGAAGAACCAAAACACGACTTGGAGACAGCTGCCTATCTTACTCAGACATTTTACCCAATTCCTTTGGAACCGGTCGGGACTCAGAGGACACCAACTTCTCAGAGTGAGCAATGCATGCCAGCGTCGATTTTGGTTGTTCGTCCACCTTCTGACGAAATATTGTCGCCAATAGTCGAAAAAGGACCGGAACGAGTTGAAACGGCAAAAAAGGTCGAACAAACCCCTTCGATTCCATCAAATAAAGGAGGGAGTAACGAAGATATTCACGTGGAAACATTTCCGGTAATTACCATCTCGGCAGGACGTGAGTTTTTGAGAAAATGATTTTTTAAAAATATAAATTTCTGTTTATTTAAGAAGAAGGCGATATTGAAGCTGTAATACGTCAATCACTTAAAGGAGGTCAATTTGAATTTCCTGAGAAGAAAATTAAAGAAGGGAATATACGGCACCAGATGAAGAGTGTTTGATAAATATAGTGGATTTGTATTATTTAATTGTTTGTTTTTTGTTTGTAAAAATTGTTGTTGTCTTAATATTTTAATATAAATTTAATTTCTGTCATTAAAATTATTTGGTTAATAATATTTTAAAGTAGAGTAGTCCGAGTTCGATCGAATACGAGTTACTCAACACGATCAATCGGGATTTTTTCGTCTTTAATCGAGCTCGGAACTCGGGATCCTAATACTTACTCGAACTCGATCTTTCCCAATTACTAGGTACTCGACGTACTCTTTTTTTAAGTTTCTATAAAACATTCTGTAATCAAAAAATGTTAGTTAAATTTAAAAAATTAAATTTAAATTCAATTCTTTAAAAAATTTTTATTAGCATTCTACTACTCATAATCCTTTTCTTTTCCTAAATTTACCCATTAGTTCTTCTCACAATTTATTTTACCCTTCCATTCTTTACATTTTTGAAGGTAAAAATAAGGGATTTATTCATACATTTTTTCTTTTCTTATTAAAAAATGAAATGAATTAAAAATCCAAAACAGTTGTTATTTTAGTTAAGTATTGACTTTTATTTTCTAATTTATATGAGATTTTATTCGAATAAAATCAATTGTTTTCTTGCTGATATATTTTTAATCTTTCTTTCATTTCAGCTTAATAAATTCAGCTTTTTTCTAAACTTTATTTAAAAATTTATGCTAAAAATCATAAACAATTCTATATTTTATATTATTTTTCCTTCCTTTTAAGATTATTTCCCCTGGGAGGCAATCTGCTTTAAGTCGTCAAACTTGATTGAATTTTGGAAATGTCATTCATAATTTTAGAAAAAATAATAAATTGAATAATTCATACACACATATGATCAATTTTTGAAACCATTATTATTAAACAAACACACAAATATTTTAAAAAGAGAATAACAATATTATTAGTAATTTAATAAATTTACTATACCTATTTTATTTTCTTTCAATTTATTTTTTATTAATTTTCCAACTTTATTTTTTCAATTTAAGAAGTTCCCTATCATCACTTGACTATTATCTCCCAACAATTAAATGATATACCTTAATTTAAGATACGTTTTTTTGAAATTTTGTTTAGTTAACTAAGCGATACCTCTTTTAATTTAGAATATTCCTCATTTTAAATATTTTTTAGCTTTAAGTAAGGAGGTTTAAATCAACAATTTCATAATTATTCTAATGTAAAAAAGCGTTAAAAAAATATTTTTTAAAGCTTAAATTACGGGATATATCTACATATAATGATCGATTCTCTTAATGAAAATAAATAGCCTTTAGCAAAATAAGGGGAATAATAAATAAAGATTATTTTTATTTTTAATTATTAATTATATCCATTTATTTTTGATGGATTTTATATGAATATTTTTGAGATAAAATCCTAACGGGTTTAGGTAAATATATTTCTTGATATTTTTAGAAGAAGATATTTATTAAAAATTTTATTTTTTTTTAATTTTTAAAATTTAATTTAATTTAAATAATCACAAACACTGAAATTAAATATACATATGTAATATATTTAATTAATAAATAAATTAACTAACAATTCCCCAATAATTGTCTCTCGTTCATACTTTTTGGATTTTAATTAATTTCATAAATAACAATTAAAAATAAAGGAGTTAATACTTTTCCAAATAATAATCTTTCAATTAAAACTAATTAAGCATTTACTATCTGTTTAATAATTCTCAGATTTTACTTTAATAGACAAAACAAGATTACCGGATTTTAAACAAAATTTTGATCGAGGCTTTTAATTTATTTTTGATAAATTAATTTTAATTTTTAATCATCAAACCTAAAATAAATTAAAAAAAATTTTTTTTATTTCTTAAAATAATTCTCAAAATATTTTTTTTAATTTATTGACAGCTTTGATTGACTAAATTTTAATATTTTTTGTTTTGTTTTTTGGCTTATTTGTTCTTATTTTTCATGAATAATTACTCACTTTCTTTATTCTTCTTTTTCTTTCCCTTTCATTCTCAATTAGCCATGCAAAGAATTTATTCTTAAAAAGCTGCTCCAAGGCTTTTTCCCAAGCTTTAAGAAAGAAATTGACAAAATTTCTGTTTTGGCATATTGATGATTGTTGACAGCTTTTTCTGTTTTGGTTTTTTTTTAGTTTTGACTTTTTTCTAAAAATTTAGCATTATTTGTTGCTTTTTAGGTTCATTACAAATTAATGGAAATATACCCAAAAACTTTTTTAATAGGAGGAACATTTTGTTAATTTTTAGAACTTCAAAAATTATTTAAAATTAGTCAAAACCCCACAAAAAATTCTAATGAGCCTTGAAGACGGTGCTATCTCCCTTTTTACTCAAAAATTCCATTATAATATTTGGCCTATTAATTTATCTTATTTCTCTTATTCTACAAAAGGAAATAGCAAAGTGAGTGAAAATACTTTGAATAATACATTATGTACAAAAAAATATTTCTCAGTGTTTGTGATTAAAAATAATTTTAAAATTAAATTAAAATATTTATTTTCACCTTTAATATCTTTAACATTTTTCTGTTTTTTATTTTGTGAGATTTATTTATTAATTTTCCATATTATACAATAATTATTATCCTTTTATAAAAAATTTAAAAATTAAAGGCTCGGCCTGAATGTATGCGCTTTCTGGTCCGGCTAGCGCTATTGGGCGTCTTGTTTCTTCTGTTTATTTTGGCGCTCTCAATACACCAAAAAAGAATTCGAAAAGAATTTCCTGAAATAATTCAAAAAAAGAATATTTCTGTTAATAAACCATCAGTTAATACTTTTTTAATTCCTGTTCGTCCAAAAGGAAATTCGAACCAGCCAACAGAAGAAGGTTTTGTTAAATATTTTGTATTTACCTAATATATGTAGTAACAGTCTTCTATTTTAACTTTTTAACTGGGGCATCATCTATCAGAAGAAAAACAGTTAAACCCTAACTTGACACAATCTAATCGTAATATAGACCTCAATTCAAATAAATTTTTTAAGGATTGGTGGAGGTGTTAAAGCGATACTCTTTATTTAGATACACCTCATATAAGTTACAAATTTATCAACCCCAAAGGTTTAAAATTAAAAAAAACCTTAAAATATATTGAGTTCAACTATAATTCAATATTAAGATAAAGAAGCCCGTCGTCTTTTACAACTTTTTGGCGGTTCGTCTGACGACGGTATTCCTGTACCTGCTGGCCATAATCCAATTAGTGGGGGTGGTGGTGGGGCATTTCCCCAATTAGAAACAGCAATAGGTGCTGGTCTTCTTTTCCCCATTGGACGATACCCGCCTGGAAGTGTTCGAGGAAATGCTGTTCGTGGCCAGTTGACTTTGAACGTTGCTGTTGTTCTTATTGTTTCTTTACTTTCCATTGCTGTTTTAATTACTGCAATTTGCTGTTAGTTTTTATTGAATAAAAACGGGACAATTTAAATAAAGCTACATATGTATTTGGGAAACCCCCGCTACACAGGAAACGCTGGTCTTACATTGTTCCGAATTATTTCTCTTTTGTTACTAGATATGATCACCATATTATTTTTAAGTAAAAATAGTGGTTGTTGGGCCTTTTTGTTAATTTTTAACTATTCCGTGAATCCAAGCTCAATAACTACAATTTCATAAAACACAATATAAATTTATTAATTTTCATAGATAAAGTATAATTTAAAGGTGTAATAGTCATAGCGTTAGCTATGGAATCAGCAACTACAATTGATGAATGTCGCAACAACAATTCATCTTCTAATGATTTTCTTCTTTCCAGATGGCCTCATTTAATACTTCCTCGGCCACAAATAGATGAAGAAACGGGGTTTAAATAATTTCTAAAAAACATTTAAAATATTATTTTTAAAGTAATCCATTAACTGATGATGAAATGGAGGAGTGTGAGGATGTAATTGACACAGAAAATGTTAATAAATGTAATCAAGGACAAAGTTGGGGACAAAAGTTAGTTAAAAAATAAATTTAATATATAATTAAAAAGTATTATCACATTATCTCCCCAGATTTTATATCTTAAGCAAATTGTAAGTATAGTCCACTAGAAATAATTTAATATATGTATCGGGGCAGGAATTTTTTTTAAATTAAATTAAAATTAATTCAAAAATTAAATCTAAAATAAAGATTTAAGCTTTGTAGCTACAGCTTCATTTTCATTTTCCAAGAAGCTACATAATAAAAAATCGTTCTAATGGGATTTTTACTTTTTTTATTTTTATAAAGCCTAAAACAAAAGGAAAACATTAAAATTTGGGGAGATAATGCTTTAATACCAAAATTTAATATTTAATTTTTAGTAAATCGGATCTTGAACCTTTAATTGAAAAAGGAATTGAAAGAGACAAAAAATGGCTTAGGAAAAATAAAAGTGAGAGCCATGAAGTTGGAAGGCCTAATATATTTATTGTTTGAATTTTAATTAGAAAATGGAAGTTATTGCCTCATCTTCATAATTTTGTGTACAAACTCCCAAAATATTTTTATTATATTTTTTATAAATAATTTATGTTTTTGCTCAATTTGTTATTAATAAATATCCATAAAGATTTTACTTTAACATTTTTAATATATTAATTTTGGGAAAGTTTAAAGACGTATTTAATTGGAAAGTTTATTTATTTATGCGGAGGTTGTTATTTGATGGAGGTTAACTATGAGATGCTTTACGAATATATCCAATTGTTAACAAGAACAATCCAATCTAAATATTGGTAAAATCTTTTCTAAAATCTTTTCTCACTTCTTCAATACAATATAAAATTATAAAATTTAATATATGTATCATTATTTAGTGATTGATAATAATGTTACTCTGGATTGTTACTCTGGAGTAGAGATCGGACCAAGCAAATATTTGACGTTGGAAAATCAAATATTTTCAAATATCAAATAGTTTGATTTGATATTTGATTTTTCTGTTTGTCCGATCTCTACTCTGGAGTTAAAAAACAACTAATATTTAATTATTTAT